CTCGTCTGCATGACGAGAGGCCATGAGGTCAATATGACCGACTTGTTGCGTTGTTGCGTTCGCAGGTATTTCCACAGGGGCGGCCGCAGGCAACCTTGCCGTCACAACCGTTGCGTAGTCGGTCTGCAGTGGGCCCAGCACAATACTCTGGTCTTCAATATAACCCGGAACTCGGGCTGCCGCAGTCAACAGGTTGTTGGAAGAAGTTGCACGTCGAATCGCAGTGCTGATATCCTTTTCTATTTCACAAATTTCAATACATCATTCATCGGAAAGTAAATTGCGAAATTATTCCATAAACGGAGATTTTACCGATGTAAATGAACAGCAGTAATGTGAACGATTCTTGGGCATTGCGCACCTTGCTTGCATTGTCCCACACTTGCCGGACAACGTCGTTGTAGTTGAGCAGCGTCAGTTTAACGTACTTGTCTTGCGTTGTGTTGGCAGCAACCTTTACATACACCTCATTTAGACCTTCTGGGTCCCACACTAGCTTCGCGTTCGACGCATCAGCATGGTATTTGGCGACGGCAGTCGTGACTGTGTCGATGAGCTCGGATTTATCTTATTCAACTTGTTTTACAATGATCAGCATCGACATGCGTTGGAGATGATGTGTTGTGCTTGTCCAAGTCTACGGCATTGAAGTTGAGGTCGTTCGCGTCATACTTGGACTCTCAAGACGTAGGGTAACAAGATTCAACACGATGGTCACATCTACTGGCGACGTCACACAGTTAAAGTTGCGTTCGACGGGGTCACGCTGGCCAGCCGAGGTCAACGCCTGGGTGAGCAACTACACCACATTGCACCCCTGCTTCTATATCGAGGCGCTTCAAGACGCACTGAGACATAAACTTTCCGACACTGAAGAATGTATCCGCGGCAACGATATGTAGGCTCTCATGCATGACTTAGGATTGACGCGAAAAGGTATTTAAGTCTTGAATATATTTTAAGGATTTATTCGTGTGTTCATAGTCTTAGAACGACGAGCTCGAGAGTCGGCCGATTTTGAGCTGCGCGATTACTACAGGCGATTAAGCCCATACTACTCGTACCCCGACCAGCTAGTATTTGTCGACGAGACGTCCAAGGATGGACGTGATTCAATTCGCAAGTATGCGTGGTCGAAGCGCAACAAAAGGCAATTGTAGAATTACCATTCTCACGTGGCCAGCGGGTGTCAGTGTTAGCGGCATTTACTACGTCTGGATTTTTAGCGTGGGATTGTGTGGACGGTATATAGTTTTGTAGTTCCTTTATATTAATTGGAATTGATTAGGAACATTTGATCGTGCTGCCTCTCACGAGGTCATGGTCACAAAGTTTCTTCCGTATTTAAACCCTTGGCCGCTCCCGCGTTCAATTTTGATTTTAGACAAGGCGAAGATCCATATGTACAAGGAGCTGCAAGATTCAGTTCACAGTCGAGGTGCACTGCTGTTCTTTTTGCCACCATATTCTCCGCAGCTTAATCCTATTGAGGTGGGATTTAGCCTGCTAAAGCGCTGGATTGACAAGTATCCCATGGCATTTCGCTTTAATGTCCGTGCTGTATTAGATG